CCCAACACCTCAAAACCAAAAGCCCCTAAACCGTACAATTTCTGTATCCTATACCCGAAAATCTTGTGGACTTTCGAAACCACAAAGCTTTAATCCATTTGTTGAATCTGAATTGCTGAAAACCTAAAATCAAAAAAACTTTAAAGAAAGGCATAAACCAAAACTAACCCAAGATCGCACGTGCTGAAAGTCACACGTGGTTGAAAGGCGCGTTCACAAATTGTTGTAGCGCTTGAGTCGCCTGTCGTGCTGAAACGGCTCAGCGCTGGAATTGTGATTGTACCCGTCACGTGCACGTACTTCAAACGCACAGGCCTGAATCGCAGTGCTTTGATTGCGGCCAGTTCTCGCATAGCGGTTCAACTTGATATTGTCAATGCTCTCTGTCGGCTGACTCAGGCCGAGCATACCACATCTCATGCAGCCACCACTGGCAAATTGGACAGCCACCGCAAAGCAAAAAGCCATTTACTGGTCTACCTGTCCGCTTCGGCGATTGCTTCTGCGGCTTCGGAAACAATGAGTTTTCAAGCTGCAAAGGCATCATCGAAATCGCTTCCACGGGCTTCCCCGTACTTTCAGAAAAATTTGAGCTGCCAATCAACATGGCCCTTCCGGCCCTTCCGACCGGAGCTGACGTCGCCGTCGCGCCCGAGCAAAGGCACTCCACCACACAACAGCAGCTTGTCAGGAAAAGATAGGAAAAGCAGTTCTAGTCACTCTAGTCGTCTTAAGCATTCTCAGAAGCTGCGACCCTTCCTGCTTGACTCTCGCGGCCAACTGCTTGCAACGGATGCGGCTTGCCGTCCTTGCGACTTGCGAGTGGGATTGGCGGTTCCAACGGCTCATGATTCATGCGACAGCTTCTCGTGATTACAGGAGTCCTGAAATCAGAAGCACATGTACCAGTTGCCCAAGTCACACCGAACAGCCATCCATCAACATAGCGGAAGAAGAGTTCATGCTCTGATGTTGCCGCTAGCCGCTAGCTTTCTCGCCGAACAACGGTATGCTTTCCAAGACTCGTCTCTGCGGTAGAGCACTGCTTCATATCCTCAGCAAAAGCATGACGTCAGATCAAGCGACGCTCTAGCAGGTGGGAGAAAGCATCTGTTTGACTGTGCCTGTTAGGTTGTCCCCGTCTGGCAGCCCAGAAGCCTTCAAACTGGACTCGAGGAAGTTGTAGCATGCAGAGCATTTTTCGGCGCTGAAACTGGTTGTATTCCTTTGGGAGCGAAAGATGTGATCGCCAGGCTCTGGAAGACAGCTGGCCTGGGTTTCGCTGCAGAAATTCTAGCACCAGCAACTCTCGCACTGCTGTAAATGCTCCGTGACACGAGCTTTTAATTGAACAGGGGGCACAGACAGAAAAGGTTGAAAAACACAGCCAAGCTCGCGCAGCAGAACTTCAGCAATGAGGCTAGCAACAAGTGACCCCTTCTCACCTATGGACCGTGACGCGACTATGAGCTGAACCGCCTTGAACCAACCAAGGGACTAATCGTGGGACACTTGCAAAGAAACGCAGCTGGCTCGGATTCTTGAGCTGCTCCTTGCCAGAACGTGGAAGTGCAATGCATTTGTAGGAGATGCTGTGCTCACAAAGCCAAATTTCCGTGGTCCTCCAAGGTAAGAGGCTCTATCCGCCTGTGGCGGGCAGGACGACGCGGCAGTTGCAGGGAAATCTGTGCTTGGACCACGGTCTGGCGACCTACCCCGGGCTCCCTTCCCGCCTGAAGGTCACCGTGGAACCGTCCGCATGCATCCTAAAGAGACCGTCCACAGGACACCATCATTCGAAAGCATTCGCTTATGCTTGTGAAGCCCATGGTCGTTTCACAAATTAAAGTTCCGAGGATCACCAAACGCTTGTTGATGGGCAGGTGCAGTTCGATCTGTTTGTCAGGATCTCGCAGTAGATGCGAAAAGGTGAACCTGAACAGGAAACTGTATTGGACGAAGGCGGCACGTTCAACGACGAAAACATTCATTTATCACGTGCCTTCTCAATTGGTGCATGCTTGGAGTCAGCTTCTTTGTCACGGCGTGTATGCTGGCCCTTGCAACTATAGTGAAGGCAAGACGCGAGGAGGTGTGGAGCTCCGTCGTCCGATATTTAGAAATTGACCTCCGGCAATCATGCCAACGAGTGAACATAAAAACGCAGTCAACATGCAAAACATCAATGCCAACCTACTTCAGCTAGCACACAAGGCGTGAGAAAATATCAAGAACCACGATCAAACTTCAAGTCAATCTGACAAGAAGTGTGGCGGCAATGCAACTGCAAGTTACAACCTCAAGCCGTCACATCCCGCCAGACCAGCCTGGTGTCACTCCGAGTGCCACAGGAATCTTCCAATACCAAGGACACCGACGTTCCGATGCACGTCACCGAGTAATCCACCTTGCAGTCACCTGCCAATTATTCCAACATCAGAGGGCACCATGGCATGGATCTCTCGCCGCTGCGTGGCACATCATATGAGCTTCTTGCAGTAAAGAAGCCATAACTCTTTGTCACTATGCGATTTCCTGAGCTGAATCACAATCCAGAGGTGTGCCAGGGAGTCACAACTGCAACACAAGAACAACAAGAAGAGTTGAGCTTGCTCATGAAGTGCCGGCCGCGCATCCATTCCACGAGGAGATCTTGACCAAATCAAATTCGCCCTGGTTAAGACTGCCTCGCGTGATTCGACAACCCGAGAAAGACCCATGATCACCCATGCGTCAAAGTAGCAGGAATGGTGATGCCTGACGAGAACTTGCAAACCCTACTACCGTTCGTTGTAACTGGCTGCATCTGACGGAATCGAATTCCACCCGTATTTCCCTGAAGCACATGTGTCAAAACTGTGGCCTGGTTCGCTGTACTCAATGCGTATGGCTTGCTCCTGCAGGCAGCATCTCACTTCCATCAGTGGCACTTGCAAGGAGATGAGTTCGCCCATTGAGTGTAGACAGCCGTCCCGTGGATGCAATGCATTTGAACGACATACGAACCTCGTCGCCTTCGTGCTGTCGGAAATTTACTTATGTTTATTTATACTCCATTGGCAGCCACATGGACCTCCCGGGAGGCTGTGTCTAAGTGTTAAGCAGCACCCCTCCTCCAGCGAGCATGGCTCACGCTGCAGGCTGCGGACTGCATGCGCACTCCTTCAAATCAAAGCAGAGGGGGGTTGCAAACAGAGAGGCTGGAACATGTCAAGCTGTTCCTGCAAAGCGGTTGGGTCGCCAGGCGGACCTCATGCCGCTCACTTTAGGTGGAGCTCCCGAGAGCTTTCAGAGTCCGAAGCCTTAATGCAGATCAACAAATTATATGAGCTTGTAGAATGCTCGTTCGTTACCATCTAGTTTTACCGCCAAAATTCCTACATTGTTCGAGAACCGGTCCTCAACACGACTGCGACTGCCGCAAGCAGTCGGCCCAGCACAGCATTTGCCATGAAACCAGTTGGATGTAAAAGGATTTGACAAAAAACTTGCTGCAGAGCCCGAGCAGCCACAGCGGAGAGTTCATACTCTGGCTCAGTCCAAAACACAAGGACATAGCCGGCCCAAACATGAACTCTCGGCTTCCTCGCTCAACGCGAGATTTGCTTCACACAAGTTCGGCAATTTCTACCTATGTCTGTCTAGACGTTGTGAGGTTCCTGCACATGGTCTGCCATCAATCCAGACCAGCCTCGTTTATTTCTCCGAGTATACCCTCGTTGAGAAGCTGCTGTACAGCCATGGTGCCCAGCTCCTCTGCGCGCGGGGCCTACACCGGGCAGTCTCTGCTGACCCACCTGTGTATCCGGCCCGAAGTCACCAGGTGTAGGTGAAAATGTAGCAACAGCTTCACATGGGCCAACATCGAGGGCATCCAAAACCTGCAATGTTCTTGCACATCCTCCACACCTGCACAGCATCATCTTTCCGAAAAATCCTCGGAAAAGGATGTACTGCGTCAAAAGACTTCAGATATGAATCGAAGAGTTTCGTTTGAGTCTGATCAAGCGAAACCAAAACTGCCTCGACAGCTGCTGCCATGGCTGATTTCACTTCCCCATAAGCTCCTGGCAACAATCGCTACATGTGTTTTGCCGGCGACAAACTATGAAATCCATGCTAAAGCGTGGCTACAGATCAAACGTTCCAGAAACAGCGAACTTCGGCTGGCTCCTTGATTTTGCCGTTCTTCAGGAGAGGCAGCGTTCCTCCCATGCCTCCGTCGTTGCAACCTGCGCAGCAGAGTATTCAGCTGCTTCAGCAGTGCACCCACTCATGTCGGAAACCGCAACTCGCAAACAGTTCCTCGCGCTAAACTAGGCGTTATTGACTTGTTCTGCAGCACCACGAAAAGAATTGCCTCTTCTTGCATAAGTCCGTCTCAGCAGGCACGCTCGCACAACGACTCCCAAGTATGAAACGTGCTCCTCCAATGAAGTTCTGCTTGACGAAGACCTGCCCCAACCCAAAATGTCTGCTTGCAGATCTGCATCATTTAGAGAAGCTGCCGACAGTGCAGTGTGTCAGGCCTTGGGGACGCTTGTAGAGCCACACTTGGCACTCAGGGCACTTCGGTCAAAATCTTCCACAACCTTCGGCGTGTAGCCTGCGTGAAAGGAGCAAGGGTGCCGCTGAAAAACGGTCGCCAGCCCAAGCCTGCATCACGCAGCGCAGAGAGAGCTTGCCGACAGAAAGGGCAGCTGCTGCTCGAGAACACCACCATGTCCTCGATGGGATTCCCATCAGGAAAGCCACACAACAAGACCACTGGCTGCGAAGCATGGCAAAAAAACCGTGGAAGAAAGATCTCATGCTCACCAGTCTTGCAGCTAAGCTGCGTTGGCGTTGATGAGCTCGTCGATCGACGCCGCCATGTTTGCAGAGTTCTGGCTGCTACTCCCAAAGGGTGCTATTCCTTAGACTTTCTCAAAGGCCTCAACCAAATAGCATTCGGAAGCAGGCACTCTCGCATCAAGGACGTGGAGCGTGGCTGCAGTCTCTCATCGATCACAGTAGCAGGCACAAACAACGCAGCACGAGCTGTTTCGCCGGAGACCGGTCCCCCGCGAGCCTATGCCCGAGAGGGCATGACGGAGCTCTGCACAGGTAGTTTCGAGGCCAGCTTGTAACACCAAGCGGACTCCTGCTCGATCAAGATCAAGCTGGCTACCGGTATTCTGTGAAACCTAGTGAAACACGAAGGGGGCTCAGCCAGCGCATGTGGGGCGACTCCTTGGTGCTCCGTTGGCTTGAGTTGATGGAACAGACATCGGCACTGCAGCTCGGCGACGGTGGCTGCAGGTGGTGGCACTGGAAAGGAGCTCCCAAGCGGTCCCACATCTCTATTACCTGGTCGGTGCAACACATGTTGTGTTGTATTCCTGCTTGCACCCTGCATGTGCAAGAGAAACAGCAGTGTCACGCATTGCGTTTAGATTTTCACTATGACTGCTGTAGCAAGCCTTTCTAAGCAGCTCCCATTTCCTACTGACAACGGTACCGGTACCTCGAAGACCTCGTCAGCAACTCCAAACACCATCGTGGCTACGATGAACAACACCTGCTACGGCTGCTACAGACAGCCGTGAAACGCGCAGCTGGCAAACGGGAAAGCGATCGAAACCGCTTGGCATCCTGCCGTACCCACGATCGTAGTCCGCTCCCAGAGCGGAAGCGAGTTGAAACCGATCACCAGGTACCTGTAAAATTGAAGTTGCCAGGCACGCAGAGTCTTCGCCGTTGCAAGACTCCCGACACGCGTAGTCTTGCTAGCTACACAAAAACTCTGCAGAAGCAGCACCTCAGGCCTCGGCCCCGGCCGAAGAAATAAGCGCTTCCCACAGACATCCCGCGCATGCCACATTGTACCACCCCGCAACCAGCTTGATTATGGGACTGATCCACCACATTCTTAATGAGAAGTGCGAGCGCAGCTCTGCTAAGCAGACGGAGGGCGAGCATCACTTGCTTTGGTGGCTCTGAAGAGCATCCCGGAGGAAAACAACGCAAAGCCTTTATTATGTTCAATGAGCCAGAACAAAGTTTGCCGCCGCGTGCCTGCATCTTCCACCACCCAGTTCAGTCTCGTAGCTTGCAGAGGAACTTGTTTCTGTGCCTGTGCCCACATTCCAAGCGTGTGATTGGCGACAACAGCACGTGATACTCATTTCTGAGGAAGAAGCTTTCCTCTTTATCATCATCACCACCGCACATGGCCACTTCTTCTGAAGATGCCTTGACTGCCAGCTACAGCATTTGATCCACTTACACTTGCCATATCGACTCTCGGAGCAATGAGCGCCTGCAGTTCCATAGGCAGACTTTCATGCTCCTCCCTTCCGGCAAGAACCTCGCGTCCTGGTGCAAGCTCAGTTTGCAAAAGCATCCGAGAAGCCATTGGTGGCTTTGCTGAGAGGAGCCGATGCTGCATGAAGCACATGAAGGATGCACTGCCTCGTGCCAAGAGAAAGAAGGTGATCGGAAAGAGGAACCCAATCGGTCCTGCAGCAGTGTGTTCACACATGCCATTACTGCTGTTCTTCGACATGGATGTTCTGTTCAGGACCTCTTAGGAAACTGACTAACGATGTCGTCAAACGTAAAGAGAACCCCAGTCGGGAAGGTTGCTGGAACACACACCTCGGCCCTCTCAAATTGCAGTCACTTGCCACCCCACAGCATCGACAAGCTCTTCAAAGAGCCGCCTGCGAAAAGGCCTCCGATGATGCCCAGCAGCTGGGAGAAAAAGGGCACCATGTTGGACCTGAAATCCCATGCGCGCTACAGACAACAGGAGTTGGGAATTTACGCTGAGATGCCAGCACAACGAAGCCCATCAAAAGGAGAAGGACGCCTAAACCTCGTTTCAGCAAAGACCCCGGAAACAGCGCTATATCATGAGTCATTCAAGATTCCCTCCAACATCCATCCGTCTTTGTGTCAGAAGCAAACTCGTTGTCATGGCCTCCGTGCTGAACGTACGAGCGGAGTCCCCGTGCGTCCACCTGGCAAGAGCCCCCGCGGCAAGCTGCTCGATTTGGCTGATGCATATCCGGCGAGCCTGGTTCGGCTTCCAGCATCCATGCAAGAAGTGAACCAACACGACACTTTTGATCCTCGGCCAAGTCTGGGAAAGTGCGCGACCACTGATGCATGTTAGCGTCCGGCAAGTAGACGATCAGGACGTGAATGAAGAGCATTGCCGCCGCAGCCTGGCAACTTCGCCGGTGCGACTTGTGCTATGGGCTCGAAGCAACAAGACAAGGGGAGCTCTCAGCTTTTCCCCCCGTCGAGCATACACCAAACTTCTCCAGGCCTGGAGCATGGGACCATGGGGCATGCCCGCGATCAAGTCGCCGGAACCCGATCCGAAGCCATACCCCAGGCAGGCCTGACAAGCACATGCGAGCGGCCTATCCAAAATAGTAAAGCCAGGGCACCACGGCCAGGTACGAGATGAGCATGAAAGGACCTGCAACAGAGTTCGCGACACTTTGGGGGCTGTGCTGGATCCCTGGCTGTGGAGCTGATGACTTTCAGGAATCTCCCTACTACTACCTTCTTGAGGAACTGTTGAGCACACTTCATGACCTCTTCGACTCTTCGACACTGTCTAGTCATAACACCACCTGCAATGGAGAAGGACTTTGGGAAGTCCTGCACAGCAGTCAGGATGCAACCTGTCGAAAGATCAAACGTGCAACTCATCAGCGGAAGGCAATCCTCCGGAGCTGCCATCGTGTCCATCAGTTCAAAGTACATCCACTGCCCGGCATAGCTGTAAACAACCTCAGACGCAAAAGACTAACAGCTTAGTCCGGCTCCATTAACTTATCCAGGCCACATTAGTAGCAGCGCCCAATACAACCATTCCACTCAAACCTGGCGCAGTGTGTTTTTCCAAATCCCCTGTTTCGCCTTGTCGGGTTGCCGTCGTATCCAACAGTCAGGAAGACATTAACCGTCATCGCTAGCGCGAGCCTGGATCAAAATAGAAGGTGTGGGGACCTGAGCCATACCAGGAGATCGAACCACAGAGCAAACGGCCAAATCCAGCAACTCAGCCTTGAAGGTTTATGCGCATCTCTAAGAGCCAAGAGGCATGGTGGCGTGGTTGATCCGGCGCGGTACAGAGCAAGAACCTCGGTTGCCCACGGTCCAAGCCCATTGTCAGTGAAATTCCGGCGCCTCACCGGGCCTGAGGGCAAGACTATCACAGCTACGATGAGCAGCGAGTTAAAGAAAGCAAGTGGCACCTCCAGACCATTCAAACTCGACTCTGCAGACATGCCTTCGGCAGCGCAAAAGCATGTGCCCAATGAAGCCGAAGCACGGACTCGCTGAGCCTGACAAAACACAAACGATCTCCACACTCCGTTCTGTGCATGTGTCCACCATGGCTTTCTCGCCGGACTTTGGCTGCTGGCAAGTGCAGACAGGTCACTTCCGAACTCCGAAAATTGGAACCACCAGGGCCACAATAGTTAAAAGGACCGCTGCAGGTAGGCAGAGCGGCAAGTCATAGAGCGACATCCTCAGATGCTGCTTACTATGCAAACAACATGTAAGCGTGTTGGCAATGTTGGCATGGCCAAAACTGATTGATGCACTGCACGTTGCCTATTCCAAGATCAGCCAGGTCGCTGAAGCGCTCGTCCCATGACTAGCCTTTGCAGGCAGGACCACAAGCTGAGAGCATCCAACAGTCAGTGGCGACTCATGATTCTGGCATTCTCTTCGCACATATCACAAACACAGACCATTCTGATGAGGAGTGAGCCGAGTGCATCAGAGGAACATGTAAGAAGCTTGGCCCAAAGCAGTGTAGCCATAAACAATAATGATGACCTGAGTAAGCGGCACCGTCACTTGGGGAAGCAACGACCCATCCTCGAGGAAAGCAACAGCTGGTGCTGCTGAAACCACTTCTGCTGGCTGCCAAGGTGCTATCTGCCCCGCTCGCTGGGAGTCGAAAACACAAGCTGCTATCTGCAGATGCCACGCAGTCCGCAGAAGTCTTCACTACAGAAACACAACTCTTCCAAGACCCATCTGTATGGCATGATTTGAGGAACCAGCCGACTCTTCCCAAAAACCGCGGAAATCTTAACAAGCAAACTGCAATGCACGCCTCTCCCATGGTGCCGAGACCAACTGTCTTGTCGGCACCAAACATTCGACTCAATATACCACGCGTCCTCCGCAAGCACGCAAGGTCTGCTTGGAAACTGGTTTGCAATCGGCCGCTACGAACAACGGCATCAACTTGACAATTCATGTACACGTGCATGCTAGTGCGACTCATCTTTGGAGACAACGGCTTTGTTTGCACATGTTCGAGCCAGGCCTGCTCATGAGCAAGGAAGAGTAAAGAGCCACTGGGAAAAGCCCGCCAATGAAAGTTATCGTCAACACCCATCCCAATTTGGCCTCAGTGTCGACTTAGACAAGGAAGCCAGAGAGTCTTGCAGTTCCGGTGAAATTAAAAGATCCGGGTGAAATTGAATAAACACAAATGACAACGACTTGCTGCCTACCAGCGCCAAGGCCCGCACGGCAACACCGTTCAGTGTCAATACTGACGTTCCAACAATGTCAGATAACCTGCAAGTAGCAGACTCACTCAGACCAAGGCTGGCGTGGGAAATTGCAAGCGAGGCGCATTAACCATGCGATATCTTTCCAACTAAGGCCCTCCTGAGAGTCGGAAAATGCATGCTGCTCCACCTTCGATCAGCACTGAACACATGTGATATCCGATGCGTGGCCTGGACAGCATTTCTGGACGTGGAACGCTTCTTGATGTCATCGTCAACATCGCTCATGGCTGCGATGTCAAACGCTGTGAAAAACGGTACAGAGTGCCTAACATTCAGCTGATGTGGACACAACTTCTTGCAGCCCGACCATCCTGCATCACGGGTAGACTGAATCCCTGGCAACTCGTTTCCAAAACTATTCTGCCGCACTGGCTGCAACACTTCGCTCCAGCTACTTTTCACTTTCAACTGGAACCAGGCCGGCCATGTATCTCTGAATTCGCAGGAAATCTGTGAAGAAGTGCAACTTCGATTGCTTCGGCGTAAACTTAGTAGTCGCTATCACTGTTGACGCATGCAAGCTCAGAGGGTTCTACAGTTCTACAGGTTGTACGAGAAGTGCAGTTAAAGCCTGGACAGCATGCTCCATATGCTCCCGTGCACCTGACACAAGTTGTTGGCGCAGCCATTCTCGTGGCAAGATCAGATTGACCAAACGTTTTGTGCATGCGGGCGACTGCGGACCTCTTTGCGAAGAAACCCAAACCCGTGTCTGTTGACGTGCTTTGGTTCCTCCGCTGGTCTTGCCTGCTTCATCTAGACATCCCGTATCGGAGTGAGGTAGCCGATCATTTTCAGCAGTTGCCAGGATGTGTAGAGTGACATGTGCTGCCTCCGCTCGTCCATTTTCGGTTGGTCAGCGGGCCGTTGACTGAAGAATCTGTGTTGCCGCTGTTCTGCTACAAGTGCTTCTGAGCCCATGTGACATCTCATCTGTTGACCGACTGATCTCTTGACAGAAGAAATTAGTGCCGACTCGAGCTGCCGAATGCCACCCGGAGTGGTGGATGCAGAGTTCAATTACAAGACTGTCTCGCAAACGCATGCATGTCTGACAAGCTATTCTTTTCGAAGTCTACACCTCAACTGATCACAAGCCAGTTTTCTCTTCCTGCCCAACTTGATGCTTCCAAGCAATCGATGCCCTTCCGGATCACCAAGATTTCAGGCTGCGCGGTCTGTGGAAGGCTCACCACCACAGTCGTTCTCCGCCAAATCGACGTAGACAAAATTACACTTGTGACAGACGGCTCAGCAACTCATGCTGAAGACAGATGTAATCAAACCGTTCGTGTCGGTCCGAAACACACATGCAACTCCTGGGCCCAACTCCGTGGTGAAGATCTCAGCTTCGTGCTGGAAGGCCTGAAACAGCACAAACCTGGGCGATGGTGTGCAGTAGGTCTTCGAGAACACTGATATTAGCTGTGCGGTCATCATAGCATCCTTGCGTTCAGCAGCATCCGCGTCTTTGGTGACGCATAACCGTGAGACTTCAAGAACGTCTCCTTGCTGAAAGAACTTTTGCAGCTGCAACCTGTCAGAGGTCGTGAGAAATTGCTGCATTGACCGACTTCCTGCCAGGGTATGTTCTAGGATTGCTGTAAATCCGAGCCGCAATGATCCAATAAGTTGCAGTGGCTGTCCAAGCTCATCCTTGGTGAAAACTAATAAATGATGGACATCAGGCAATGCATCCACCATCTCCACGTCGACTTCATTGGGGTTGTCAGGAAGCCACTGCTTCTCCCTCACGATGAAGTCATACCGCAATCTGAAATACATCTGATACTCGTCCAAACCAACATAGCGGATGTGATGTTTAAGACCAGGGAGCTGGTTTATGGCTGCTAGATCCAATGCATGGCCGGTCATTGAGGTCGATCCAGCCCTCTTGTGCAAATCCGTGCCCGAGAAAATGCGCAGATAGGTCCTCAGCCCTGGAACGCAACAAAAAAGACACGGGTCGTCTAGCCTTGAAATCTGAGCCGGCCTGCATCACAAACGGGTCGGTGCAGGATTCACCAACCACTGCGCACAAAACTAACGAAGTGCTGTGCTCCAGGCAGCAACACAGGTCTGCCGCTCGACTAGCTGCATGACAACAACTTATTTTGCTCCGCCAACTTCAGGTGTTCAATCAAAGCGTTCAATCAATCGTCGGTAGGTGTATTAACGAGCATTCGTCAAAACTGTTTGCAGCGAAATATGCACGAGAGAGAGAGAGAGAGAGAGAGAGAGAGAGAGAGAGAGATAGAGAGAGAGCTATATCAGTCATTTTTGGAGGGGTTCAGCCAAGACTGTCATGCTTCAGTCTGCTCCTGAAAGGCATCGCTTTTGGGACTCTTTTTGCATTCCTTACCCTAGTCATAGTCTCTGATATTCGGGTATGGACGACTGCTCATGCATCTCCATGCTGCTGGCGGGTTGCCCCTGCTCACTGGTACACGGAGCTGATGCACGGTGCAAGATTCAATGCATGGCCGGAGGCCACGGAGGACTCCTGACTCATGACCTAGACTAGGAAGACTCGCTTGCGACAGGGCGGAAGCAGTGCCCATGTCAGCAAAATGCAGCAGGATCTTCTGAGTCAACATCATCTCATCTCAGCAGAACGACAATAAATCTAAAGGCACACGTAGACATGTTCCGAACAGCCGTGCTTGCGGTGGCTGAAATCCTTCCATACTTTGGGCTGCATTCAGCTTAAACTTAAACTGTACAAGTGACACGAAAAAAATTCAACTAGGGCTATGCCTCATGTGCCGGCAAGCCGCTTCGCGACCGACATGTGCTCTGCGAAATGACCATCTGGTGTGGCAGTTGGACTGCCCTGTTTCACGATGACCATGCGAAATCTTCATGAGATGACATTGCCCAAAGGCAGTTGATAGATGATTCGTGATGGTCTCACATTCATGACGGAGCGAATTCGCATTAACGCAGAGGCTGCTTGCAGCCATCAAACTAGGTACAGCCGTGCTTGCGGTGGCTGAAATCCTTCCATACTTTGGGCTGCATTCAGCTTAAACCTAAACTGTACAAGTGACACGCAAAAAATTAGACCAAGGGGTTTGCCTCATGTTCCGGCAAGCCGCTTCGCTACCGACATGTGCTCTAAAAGATGACCATCTGGTGTGGCAGTTGGACTGGCCTGTTTCACGCATGCGAAATCTTCATGAGATGACATTGCTCAACGGCCGTTGATAGATGATTCGTGGTGGTCTGGCATTCATGACGGAGCGAATTCGCATTAACTACGAAGCAGAGGCTGCCTGCAGCCATCAAACTTAGTACACGGCTCTTGGGAATCCACCGTCTCACCGTCTTCGCTTCAGGTAACTGCTCCAGGGCAGTGGCCCTACTACCATGGTCAATGGCCGTGGTATCTGCAATGATTGCAAACATCCAGCCATGGCTGCCATTCCCAACTGAACGGCTAAGTTGGCTTCGGATCTAGGATGAAGGCACATGTTGACCATGCCCACCTCATCTTTCAATGAACTCCACTGGACGGAAATAACTCGCTGTCCAAGGGCCTTCTTCCAGTACCGGGCTTGGCCATCCAATGCTGCACAGGCTGCGGCATTGCTTGCTTGTCCTGCAGCCGTTAGCAAAGATGAGCCGAATGAGACGAGCATGGAGAAGTCCCAGGATGTTGCAGCCCCGTGCTTCAAGAGATTCAAATGTCTGGCCCCCCACACTGTCGTCGAAAAAGACCGCTCCAAGTGGTCCCGAACAACGTTAGGCACTACGGCATCGTCTGTAGCCTCGGCAAGGTGGAAGAGGCCTGCAATCTCTGTTTCCCTGGAACGGAGCTGACAGCCCAAAGCATGCACATCATCCATCATAGCGATGTCACAAGAGATGGCATGAAGCTGGACACTGGAATCGTTCAAAGATTGCCACAGCTCAACGACGCTTGGGGAGGGCCGGCCGCTCTTTGACAACAAGGTGATTGACTTTGCACCTTCCTCCATCAGGTACTGCGCAATTGCAATCGCGTGTGCTCCCATTCCACCGCTTAAGACATAATCGGACTGCGGCTTCAGACTGAGCACACTTGGCTGAGTCATGACGACTTGTCCGATGCTTTGGGACCTCTCCAGGCATTGCAGTGCCTTTGCAAGTGATTGCAAATTGCAGAAGACCTGCATGTTCATGGGGTTCACTCCACCTGTCACAAAAAGCCATGTGTCTTGAAACTATCTCATGTCGACGTAAGCTTGGTAGGCTGGCTTAGCAAGGCTGTGCGTGTTTCAGCTAACCAGATGGATGAGAATGAGAATGCTGACGATACACGCTAAGCCATGATATTTCCAACCCCACGCCTTGCTCAATCCGGCTGATGAGGCGCTGCATGTAGGCATTGTAATGCCATGGCTCCTTCGACATCATGGTATGCGCTTCCACCTGGTGGTACTGAACATCTGGCCTGGCTTGGAGGATCTGCTGACGATTCCCCGTACCACATGTGCCGATGTCAATGAATCGCCCGCCCTTTCGCAGAAGAGCAAGGGACCGGTAGAGGTAGTCGTCCTGATGCAAGCTGTTCATGACAACATCAATGCCGTCGGAGTCCGCTTCGGTGAGAAAGACCTCCAGGATAAGGCATTCATGCACAGCCGCAACGTTCATTCATATCTATCTATCTATCTACCTATCTATCTATCTGCATCTTTCTTTCATCAGGGCTAGGGGTAAGGGAAGACAAGCCCCCCTGCATCTCTCTCTCTCTCTCTCNNCAGAGGGAACGAGCGGACGCCCGAACCCTCGCGCGCGAGCGCGCACCTGCGGGTCACAGGTTTTCAAGGTTCCCACTGAAGTTTCGCCCCAGCAGGCTCGGCTCTCTCTCTCTCTCTCTCTCTCTCTCTTACAGCATGTCAATCATATTAGCGTCTGCTTTCGCCGAGCCAGGCAGAGTCAGTCTGACTTATTTGACGCCGTCTCACAAAAACTCTGACAAGTTAAGGTGAGATGTTCGCGTAGCACTCCAAGAAATGGTTCGCTATGCGTGGCGCTGCTTCTTGAGGCCTCCGCCTCTCTTGCCTTGCCCTTGGACATTTGATAGATTGCAAGTTTGTGCCGGCCGTGTGGAGACTGTCCGTCTCGTTGAACATCATTTGCTGCGACGGAGCATTGTCAGCGTCAGGCTTGACTGTAGCACAAGCCACTCGAAAGATACACCGAATGCTTCGTGCGAAAAGTGCTGAGCCGGGTGAGGAGACAAACGCTGTAGTTGCCTTAAGCACCTGGCTTGCCTGACACAGTCACAACTTTATCTTGTTTGCACCTCGACGTGTTTTGGTGTCGCAAACTGAGTCGCAGTTTTCGTGCATCTGCCGGAATATGTATCCAGGTATCCACGCTCAAAAATCGGAGAATAATTAGACTTGCCCAGGGAACAACTTGAGAAGCGGGCCACGAAAGCTAGGCCACACGAGTAGTGCTTCAAATTCCATGCATACCTTGTTGAGGGCGGGAGGGGTGACCCAAGGAGAGGGAGGAGGGTGGCCCCCCTCCGAACCTTGTACAATACCGTTGCCACTTGTTGGCCCTGAATCAATCATTTGAGTGGTGGCGCAGGAGGGAGGTGGCCCCCCCGTTAACCAGTGAGAAAGGACCAGATCAGGTCCTGGACGTAATTTTGACCTACTACCGCAGTGAATGGTAAGCGACAACTCTCGCAAGCTCCACAGAGCTAGCTTTCGTGAACTGCAAAACCTATGCTGGCAGCACGTGCAAGTGCACTGATCAGCTGTAGAAGTGTCTCATGCACACACCCGGGACCTTGATGTCTTCGGAAAACTTGGGACCGTTGTGGCTGCTCGTGATGAACTGTATTCCGATGCGAGCGAGGAAGTTGTGCTGATCTTCCGAGTTAACTGTCGCGTAGACCTGCAAATACAGCCACTTGCACACGGCAAGTCACTTCTAAAGTTCTACAGGGTTGCACGAGACGAATGCATGGTACAAAGTGCCTGAGCTCCAATGTACTGTGCGCACTGGATGGCCATGAGGCCAGTTCCACCAGCAGCAGAGTGTACAAGTACATGCTCGCCAGGCTGCAGATTTGCGTCGTCGAAAGCTTTCTCAACGGCAACGAAATTAGACGGAAGGCAACATGCCTCAGGACAAAACCACAAGAGATGCATGCACCCAAAAACCTATAACCTGCACAAGCTTCATACCAAGAGACTTGCGCAAATGACCAATGTCGTGGCTTGGGCATCAGCAAGGTTGCAGGACCCGAGTTGTAGGCTCTGAAGCAACCCGGCGAAGCGCCAAATACGTCTTCAGCGCGGCCTGCCAATCGCTGACCCCGTCAACATGTTGCAAACGTAAAGCTCCCTGGAAGTAAGTCCAAGGTGTGCTGCACACGTCTGTAGTAACCAAGTCGCGAATGTGCGACACAGCACCGCCTGTTGCCAAAACCGTACCTCCGATCCCGAAACAAAGCTACCCAGCCTTTTGGAATCATATCAGTACCCGGTTGGCGGCTCACCATGCAAGCAACTTAGGGCCCGGACCGGCGCAATCTAGTCCAGCAGTTCTCACGTCACCCTGATGCAGACCTGGGCCATCTGGACATGTTTTAGTGATGCCATGGTATCAACATAAGCCCCACAAGGTAGGCATCAGGCCTTTGATGGTCATGAGGTCATGTATAGCCAGGCCAACTGCACGGACCCGTATTTCTGCGTCGGTCGGCTGGAGAGTGCATCGCGAGTCCTGGACCTTCAGCCTTGTGCCAGATTCATGTTTGCAAAGCTGCAAACTCTTGGCAGCAACACCTGCTGTCAGTTACTAAAAAGACCACTGCGCCCCCGGCTGTTGCAGGAAAGAACCATTCTGGAAGGACATGGAGGCTTGCGTCGGCTGGGGAGTCTTAGCGGCGCTGCGAACCAGCCGTGGTACAACAGCCCGTGGGTGCGCACCTGTGCAGAGTCGAGCAAAAAGCCACGAACCCGGATCAGTCTGCGAATCGCAAGATCATGAGGGCTTTTAGGGCTAACGGCCCACAACATGCAAGGATTTCGGGTTGGTGGTATGCACGGCGCGTTCGTCAGGCTTCAGGCATTATCAGGAATCGTCCCACCTAAAGGCAACGCCCCTGATGATGAGACTTTCTGAGTGACTGAATCTAGAAAAAATGCTCAAAACAAGCAGAAGACAGTTGTGCCTATCGAAGTAAGGTAGTCAAGTTTTGGTGGCTGCTCCATGTCCGAAGTGCATAGGTTCCGACCCTGCCAGCAAACTGTCGGCCTGTTGTACCTGGTAGCCACCAAAAAAACTCGCAACGAATCTCACCACAAGGGGCGGCCATGTTGTCAAAAAGGAGAGAGGCGGAGATTTATTGCGTTCGCGAAGCGATGGAGCCGATCAAAGGTTTGTGATGCTAGGTGGAGATTGCAGGGCTTTCTGTGCGCGGTTCGAATTGAGAAACCAGCAAGAAGAAAAGCATCGAGAGACGGCACAGCGTCGAGCGGGTGGCCGGAAGGACCTTCTGATGCCTCTTATAGCTCCTCAATTCCAAGGCCTGCGGCGCAGTCCCGCCTACAAGTAAGCCATGCTGGGTTTCGCACGTTTGCATCTGTGTAACCATGATTGGCGTACTACTGCAACTACTGGTGCATGGAAACCTTAAACCCCGTACCAAGAAGAGAAAATAAATTCCAACGTCTGCTGAGTCTGAGGCACAGCTCGCTTCGTCTTGAGGCGTGCTGACGATTGATACTTCTGTCTCGTCTCCGTTTTCGCCCAGAATCGAGAGCCAATGCTTGAGGTCACTTGTCAAAGACCCTGGTGCAGAGCCGTCCAGGTCTAGGCACCGGAGCTGCAATGACGGCTCCTCCACACGGACAGTCCTGGCGAGACCCCAAAGGCCTGAGTGCCAGCAGTTGGGGATGGTGGCCTCCTGAGTGCCGTGTGTCACCCACCAAATTGGCGGCATGCTGAGATTGGAAGCTGCTCGCTGCATACCAACCTGTGCCACATTAGCTCTCACATGATTTAAAAGGCAAGGGCAGAAGTGCTGTAGCGAGTCATGTCAGCCTGACGAAATGGAAACCAACAACAAAAAGCACAGGCTGCTCTGCGCCTTTGCCAGAAGCAAAGCAGACTCCAAAACATCGAGTTCGTTGCCCTGCTCAAGAGCTGCGACGTGGACCACGGCCATGAAAACGCCTTCCTCCAGCTTCTTGCCCAGAATCTCCTGCACAGCCTCCCGGCAGAATATGAGCGGCCTAGCACTTACAAGTGGTACTTCAGCATAGCATACAAAGAACAATCTGGACCGGCCTCAGCTCTGCCGACATACACAGACTCTGGAAACTCGCTTCTTAGGTCTGGCTGCATTTCATCGCGAAGACCAACGAACATCATTGGACCAATGGTCGGGACCTGACAGGATTTCTGCAGAGATGCGCTTTTCTAGGAATTTACACCTGCAAAACCAGCCCCATGTTCCTGCCCGACACTCGCGCATCTGGGTTTCTCGATTGCCCTACTGAGGTCTAAGTCCCTGAAACAGAAATCCATGGCGGCTGCTGATTAGCTTCCCCCACCTCAGCATCAGCGCAGTTAAGTGGGATGTCCAGGTCTACCCATTGGACTTCGAGGAGGACCTGGCCAATACAACGTCCGTGATCCTCATGATACGTTCATTCCAGAAGTATGTTCAAAGACGTCTTTCTGCAACGACGGTGGGTGCAAAGGTCCAGACCCTGCATTCAAGTAGACTGTTTGTGTTCACATTACAACAGCGTAAGATATTCTGCGGGCAAAGCGACAACATACTTCAACTTTAGCGTGATGCTTCGGCTAGTCGCCAGTGGCTGTCCAGATGTCAGCCAAACAGAAGTCAGGATCGTCCCCGTTACATGAGCAAACACAAGACATCAAAGACCAGGACACCAAGCCTCCGCATTTTGCAGAGTGGTTGCTTCCGAGCTCAAGGGAGCCTTCAGATGCAGTTCAAGTTTCTGCAATGCACGAGTTGTTGTCCAACAATGTCAACGCATGGAATGGTAGCAGCAGCATCGTACTTTCTTCTTTAATGCTCGTCATACTATTGCTTACCAGAGCAACACAGCCTGTGACACTTGTAACACAGATGCAGCAGTACCTGCAAACATCACGTCCCTCTTACATTGAACAGGCCGCTAATATGAAAAACACTGTTTCCAGATCCAAAGTTTGGCACTATAGTCCGCCCTTGTAGGAAGAGGCCAGTGAACACGGAGAGGAGGCAAGGCCTACCCCCTTTTTGCCTACTTTCTGCCTCAGCATATCCAAACCTTATTTTTGCTCCTTGAGCCCAGCTCTTCCGTCAGATCCGGAGCAGCACGCGGAGCCGACACGGCTAATGCCCACAGAGGGTTGCTCGGGCCCAAGCAGGGCCGCAGAGGGTTTTCACTTCCAGGCGGTACAGCAAGTGGCTCACGCCCAACCAAAAATGGTGGATCCTACCCGCCGCATCCATCGAGATGGTTGTCATTTCCGGAGCAGCTGCGGCAAATCTGTTGGAATTTACAAGGGATCGCACTTGCAGCAACGTGGAAATATGGCTTCCCTTAAGTCCGGTGGCTTCAAACACGCGCAGGCCCAACCGATGCCATCCCGCGCGCAAGTATGGGGATTTGCCGATCGTGCTGACCCCAAGAAGCAGACACGCCGTCCCCACGTAGAGGGTTGTCAATTCGGGACATTCCAGAAACGTCGCAACGAGCGTGTCTTGTTGTTTACATACGGGTTAGGGTTTAGGATACCCTATCCACGTGCATGCAAAGGACTGAAATCTTTTGCCTGCCTGCCCATGTGCAACTGCTAATTTGCTATCTCAGCTCATGGAAAACTGATTTCTGAGTTGGGCAGCAAAACGAACCTGACTTGCCTGCACATCCACGTAGTTCTCGGCAACATTGCATGAGACAGGCGTTTCGATCTTCTCCTTGGTGATCACAAAGAGTGCTTGGGTTAGGCGCATCACTCCCCACAGTTTCGCCCTGAAGCGCCAGGCAGGCCTCTTCGATGTGGCTGCTCCCAGCATTGCTGATCTGGGAGGCAACAAACATTCCTTAGCCGTGTCTCACATTGGCTCGCGATCTTAGAGGAGCTGGCCAATACCAACATCCCAACAGTCAAACATGGCCAGAATTGAACTCAAGTCATGACCTTTGCTGCAGATGCTGCTGCCTCGCAGGGACTTATGCCGGAATAAATCGATGTTGTTGACAATAGATGTAGCACACAGCCAGTTCACAAGTAGCTGCTGTGGTTTAGCTTTGCTGCGGACACCCCCGAAGGTCCCAGTCTGGAGAATGGCTGCGTCGAGACTACAAGTTGGATGGCTCAAGTTCAGGCTGCGTACTACACAGGCATGCAAAAGCTTGAGCCCGGCTTCATCAATTTGATACGGTCTGCTCTGTCCGTTGTGTTGTGTCAACGGAGTCTTTATTTCTGCCATACTACTTGCGTGATCATAATGCACGCAAGGATTGCCGTCGACCAGCAATACAAACAGCTAGCAATGCTTGTTGCTGCCAGTTTTGTCCAGGTGGCCGACTGCTGCAGGCGTTGGGTGATCGAAGACCAGCGTGCTGGGAATTTGCACTCCGAGAGCTTGTAGTTGCAGCCGGTTCCGGAATTCCACAGCCTGAGGAAATGATAAAACACACATACACACACACACACATCCACACCGTGCGAAATCGCACCAATTATATCATCCATGTACACCCAATGCTCTGTTTCACAGAGCTCCCCGCCGAAAGTGAATCCATCCCGGCATCCAGCAGCTGATCCTCCGAGGTAGCAACAGTTTCAAACTGCACCTGGAAGCTACATTGTACATGATTTCTGCTTGGAAGCCTCAGGCAGTACCACTGGATTCAGAGCATGCGCTCGATCCCACCGATCCCACAATGCTCATAAACTGCCCGTGTCCACTCATGTACACATCTTCTTTAGTTCTAAACACTTAGAGTGCTCATCATTTCTCAATGCAACATGCCTTGCAGTTTCACCGCTGCTCTTACGAAGGTTCAACTTGCAACACCGAATGTAGCACCAGCCAGATTTGAGTCCGTAATTTTGGGGCTGCTGGCTTTGGAATTCCAGGGCCCTGAAAACGCACAAATGCAAGCGTTGAACGCTCTCTTCTCAAACCTCCTAAAGACAAGAATAGGAAGGGTGGCAACGTTTACAGATCATGTCGACTATGGCTCCTGGTTTCCCGAGAAAGACTGTGTGTGAAATTCCATCGAATCATGTCGTATCGCATGGCATACTGCTAGATTTTGGAAAAGCTGAAGGCTTTGGCAAGAGCTTGGCCTGGCCCTATTCTTGGCTTTCCACGCTCTTAGCATAACGTCGCCGTCTCCTGCGCTCCCAGAGCAGTGCCTGTGACGTCACTTGCAATCTGGAGCACCAGCGATTCTACCTGTGCGTGGTGATGGCATCACACTTGGCTCCTATAGCAATCCTTGCACCCGGCCTGAGCTGCGTTAATGGCAGTGTCTGCCACCTCACTTCTGACTTGGGGCCATCTAAACATGCTGGCAATTGAAAGAAGCCCCCAGCAGATTCAACATCCAAGTTACGCCAAGTGCATGTGGCATCGAGCCACGGCTTGTGGCGACATGTGAGAAGCCTGCCATTCAGGATTGGACAACGGGGCCATAATGTGGGGTCAACACCTGAGGACTGCTCTGGTCTTATGTAGCCCCCTCGCCAAACCTAGCCCACGGACTACGTAAGCCTGCAAAGAGCTTTCATCAAGTCTTGTAACTTGCAAGAAGCGTCCCCATGCAATCGTCTGCAGCTGTGGGGCCGGAGTAGAATGGCGGCACCGACTTGCCAAACCTTGGCAGCTTTCACACATGCTTGGCTGTGCCTGGTCTTATGGCTTGTGGCCGGCCGTGCCGAGCGTCTGCTTGAGATATTGCTGCCAGTGGAAGGGGCATGCTGCCACCACACTGTTTGAAGCACGCAGACATGCTGCAAGGGCCGCCATGCCAACCTTGGTTATACAGGTGCCATGAAGAAATGAGCTAAAGGCAAAAGAGCCACAGCATGGCATCGATGTCGCATGATGAAGGCAGGAAGCCTCGTTCCCGATGCTGCCTAGCCCCTTTGCCTTCAGGCGCGCAGTGGCACCTGTCTCTGTGGCCATTCCTGCTTCACGCCATGGACCCCACTGCACGGACACCACGCGCTCGCCCAAGGCCTCAAATCTCAATCAGATTGGCATGAAAAGTCTGAAATTCTGCGACCTTCCGTCCCGGTCCTTCCAGCAGCGCGCGTGAGCGTCCAGGGCAGCATTAGCGGCTGAGTAGTTGCCCTGGCCAGGCGAGCCCAGTAGAGCAGAAACTGAGGAGAAAAGCACCGCGAAGTCCAAAATCTCCAGGGAGGTGTGGCACAGGCTGCCGCGCAAATGTCGGGCACCCCAAACCTTTGCTCCGTAGGACCGCTCCAAATGCGCAAGGGTGAGGTTAGGCAAAGTGGCGTCGTCAAGGATGGCGGCCAAGTGAATTAACCCTCGAACCGAGCGAGGTGTGTCCACGGAGCTTTTCAAACTCGTCACTAGCCCCTCCACATCGGCGCTCTGGGA